GGCATTTCACCAAAGAAAATATATCAATGGCTAATAAGCACATGAAAAGATGCTCAACATCACTAGCCATTAGGGAAATGCAAATTAAAACCACAATGAGATACCATTTTATACCCACTAGAATGGCTATAATAATTTTTTTTTAAAAAAAAGGACTATAACTAGGTCTTTATAAATGAATTCTGGAGAAAGAATTGCCTCAAAGGCAGATGATCCAGGCCTTACAAACTTGTCTAGAACCACCCGCACCTGTGTACTCTAGGCCACTGCCGTGGATGAACTCAGCTGCTTACAAACCTGCCTTACTACATGACCTACAAACCCAAGGACCCAGGCCACAACTCCTTCAATACAAGGTGAGCCTCATTCATCTGCAAAGCACAGAAACCACTAAGACTGTGAAAGCCATGGATTTTCATAGACGTATGGCAGCTCTAGCCTAGACGCCACCCTGTGGCATCCATGACTGGCTGAGTGAAGACCACAGTGACGCTGGGAAGAATTACGTGGAGAAGCAGGAAAAAAACTCAGGATGGGCTGTATAAAGTGGGAAACCACAGAGCAGTCCTCACCATGCTTATCACTGTACTCCGCTGCCTTTAACCGACAAAGTTCGGGAACTTTTGATTAAGGCCGGTGAAGGCTTTTAAGAGTGTATGTGGGGGGCCGGCCTGGTGGCACAGCGGTTAAGTCCACACGTTCTGCTTGGGCAGCGTGGGCTCCGCCAGTTCGGATCCCGGGTGCAGACATGGCACCGCTCATCAAGCCATGCTGTGGCAGGCGTCCCACATATAAAGTAAAGGAAGATGGGCACGGATGTCAGCTCAGGGCTAGTCTTCCTCAGCAAAAAGAGGAGGATTGGCAGATGTTAGCTTAGGGCTGATCTTCCTCAAAAAAAAAAAAGAGTGTATGTGTACATGTAGTTATGAGGTTACTGCGGACTGTGGGCAACAAAACTTACAAAAGGCTAAGGAAGGCACTGCCCATAGCGTAGTAAGTGCTGTGACAGATTTTATGGCAGCATAGAAGAGAGGCAACTAGCCCAGCCTTGAAAGTTTTCTGGGGTTTTTTTTGAGGGATGGGGTCCAGAGAAAGAATCTAATCAAGACACAATTTTTGGAGAGGTATGACCTAAGCTGAGTTCTGAAGGACCCCGTAGGAGTATACTAGATTGGGGGAAGGAGTGGCAGCTAGAATTCCACAAGGAGTGGGGGACTGAGAAGACGCTAGGACTCCAGAAGTTTGGTACTGCTGGGACTGAGTACCACGGAAGAAAAGAGATGAGGCTAGAGAGTTAGGTAAGGAGTAGATCTTGAGGTTCTGTATATGAGATTAAGGATAAAAGGAGCTTGGATTTTATCAATGGGCAAGAAGGAGCAGAGAAAGGGTTTTAATGAGGGGAGCATCATGACTGCCCTAATCAAGTGTGGAGACAAGATTAGAGGGGGGGCCAACCACAGGTAAAAGGCTGCTGCAGTCATCCAGAACAGACCCCGACAGAGCAGCTGAACTGAGCATCTGCAATCACTCTGTAGCTGGCACCTCCATTTTCAATGGATTACTATGTAGCTACTCAACTGCATAAGAAAGGAGAGACCCTGCAGCTTAGACCACCACAGTCACGATCTCTGTAGAAAGCGGGGAACTTCACTCCACCTTCACAGAGCATCTGGGAGTAGAAGTCATTTCATAATCTTGCTGTGTTTTAGTCTCCAAGATGACATTGTCAAACCCTGACATTTAGTTTCAACAAGTGAATTCAGCAATGAAATTGGATCCCCGACCTCAAGGAGATTGTATTGAGCGTCATGGCTACTGCATCTAATACACACCTCTGGCTGGGAAGGCCTTTAAGCACAGTATCATACTATCTTAGGGAAGCCTGCTGTTTCGCTTGTACATTCTTGACGTTGAGGAATTAAGCCTTTGCCTTCAGGTATAGTTAAATCTAAGATGCAAATTTTCTTCTAAAATTTACTTACATGTCTTTTAAAAACCCACAGGGCTTCAATTTAATATTTTTCTATATTGTACCAAATGCTTATGAGTGCAATAAGGTCATAAAGGAAGGTGTCTTAGAGCTAAACAAAAAACAAAGAATACTTCTTACTAATGGGGGCTAGAGAATGAGCTGTTTTTCACTTAGAGCTACACGCTTTTTTTTTAAACCAAGAGATCAACACACCCTTCAAAGTAAGCACATTGAAAAGTGCTTTTTTTTAAAAAAGACTTCACAGGCTCGGAAACAGTGAAGAGCATTCTACTAGCACTGAATGGCAATCAGACCCCCATGAGAGTTCTGTCACCTTTCAGCCTTCATACAAAACTCAAAGAGAAAAAGATATATGGTCCAAAATGGTTAAAAACAGACCCAGAACACCTTTGCTTCTTTTACCATTCTTCCCATTCCCCCAAAACCTCTCCCCCATCTCCTTAGTAAAACAAAGAACTAAAAAACAATATGATTTCAAGGAAAGGTCACTACAAACAGGTTTCCGATAGTCCTCTCAAAACGCAATTACTTCAGAGGTAAAAAGCAGTAATCAAACACCAGAGTTGAGTTCCTAACGCTCTACTCTTCCAGGACACTCACAGGTACATGTCCAACCACCTTCTCATCATGGCATACATAGGAGGTGACAACGCTGTATTTGTAGGTATACTGGAGATAAACAGAAGAGTGCCTATTGCCCAAGGCCATCTGGCCAGGGTTGCTGGTAACTTCACGCCCCACTTGATGGCCAGGAGTGCTAGGAGATCAGTATCTTAATTTTCCCGAAGCTCAGCTCAACTTTCTTCGGCCTTTTAGGATTAAGTGCAATACCCAAAGCTCTCAGAAATCATTACTTTCAAATCCAGACTCTACTACACTCCACTTAAGCTTACTAACGTATGGAAAACCTACCTGTCTTGCAGAGATATCGGGGAGATTAGAAATAACATACGTAAAGCTCTTATCACAGTGCTTGGCAGGCAATCAATGTATGAGGGCTGTTATTACCAAGAGAGTTGTTAAATTAAAAAAGAGAACTCTGTACGGAGGTAATTTCACTTAAATAAGAAATTGCGGGTTTCCCTTTCCTCAGTGTCTAAGAATTAAAATATTTTATAAAACAATGAAAATCATAAACTGTCTCCCTACTTCTTCAAAAATCCTAATCTTTTTCCTCATTAATATTCACAGCCTCTGCTCCTGGTATTTGAAAAGTGACTGTCCTTGACACCCATCTACTAAGGATTACAGGTGCACCATTACACTGATCCACACATATACAAGAGATACTGGCACATGTATCTGTGTTCTGAGCTTGGAAAAGCAGTGCAGGGCCACCACCAGACAGTTGGAGAGGAAAGAATATATCAGCTTTTTATGTGGACCTCCCTAAAGTGAAGATAACCCAACAATCTATAGACACAAATTATCCCCCCACACAAATGGTAGATGAGATTCTTTCCTATAATTAGCCCCTTTCTTCCTGAAAGCCCTGTGAAGAAACTGCTGTATGAAGAACTACTTCAAAATAAATGATACAGATAACAGCACACTCAGCAGACACACTAGAGAACAGCATCTGGATCTCCGAAAAGAAATGTGAAAGTGGCCACTGGTAAACGATGCCAAGGTCATCTAAGGATGTCAGAGCACTTCATGCACTCCTGGGAAAAATGAGCCAACTATACGCAATTCTGTGAGGTACCATGTCTTCCAAACAATGGGAACTCCCAATTTCCTCTTTTTGATTAAGATAGGTTATGGTTATCAACTGCAAACATAAACTCACCATCACCAGGAAATCGCTTCTTGATAACCTGGACAAACGTGTTCAGGCAGCAAAACATCTAACACTGGAATACAAATATAACGCCCAATCACAATACCCCAGACATAATTTTAACCTTTTCAGAGGAGTACAGAATTTTGGAAGGAGGGCAAAGAACTCTTCCTGAATTGTCCTTTGACCACACTAAAGAACAGAAAGACACAGCATGTATGTGCCAAGAAACTGGAACAAAAACACAAGCAAAAAATCCTAGCCCAACAAAACAAATGACTCCTGGAAGGGAACGGTGAGATCACCTACACATTCACTCATCAGAGAAGAAATGCAGGAATGACTTCTATGTTCTGGGCACACCACATGGAAACACAGACATGAGTAAGACATGGCTCCTGCCTTGAAGAAATTCAAAGTCTAAAAATAATGTTTTCAGAGTCACAAGAGTAATTTTATAGTAATATTTTATTAATGGAGACAGAAAAACGCAAACCAGTAAGATATATTTAAATATATTAATAAACATCAGCTAAAAAGAATGTCTTCGGCTGTGAGTTTACTAATGACATTGATTATCCGATTTTTGAAACATGATTAAAGTTGTAATTTACTTTCAAGACAAGAATTAACTTATGACACACGTTTTACAAAGGTTTCCCACACACACACCATCACAATTTGTAAATTAGGTGCTCTTCAGCTTGACACTTAGGGCGTGGCAAGGGAGTTCTCACACAATCTCAATGACACTTGGATGAGCTCTTACAAGTCTGGACATTCAGGTTTCCAGGAAAGGCCAGTCAACTCCCTAATTCTCCTCAAACCTTGAAACAACACTGCCACCTCTCTGCGCCGTCACCCCTGCCCACTTACATATACCCAGGCTAAAGCATACCAATCACATCTTCCACACCTGGAAAACCTTTAGGAACGAACCACGGAGGAAAAACCCCCTCACTCAAAATATCTATATACTCTCTTCCTCCTTTTAGTGGCTGGATTACCCGAATATGGGCTAAACCTGTGCTACAGCATAGGACCAGCTATTCAGCGCGGAGCATCTAAATGACTTGAGTCCGAAAAAACCATTCCTTTAACTGGCACAACACCCTGGAGGAGATGCTTAAAAAGCAACTGCTCTAGTACAGGCAAGGACTCGAGGAAAGGGAAGAAGGGGAGAGGGGCGCAGTGAGGCGCGGGGACTGCGGCGACGGGTCCCCCCAGGTCGCGGGCACCGCCCAGGCGGGGACCTCGGCGCGGCGGGCCAGAGATGCGAGGTGACCTTCCGACGAGGCCAACTCGAGGGGGTGCCCGGCGCGGGGGACCTCGCCGCTGCCGCCCGCTCTCTCGGCGGTGCACTCGCCCGCACAGCGGCGAGCACGGCGCCCCGGATGCCAGCCCGGGCTCGTTCCCGGGCCGAACGCGGGATGTGCAATCTCGGCGTCCGGGCCCTGCGCCTGGGCCTCGGCCCGCCGCCGCCCGGACACACCCCCGCCGCCGGCCGGGCGGCCCCAACCCCCCCCGCGGGGCGGCCCGGCCGGGCATCGCTCACCTGCACCGCAAGCCGGTCCGCCGCCCGCGGGCTCCGGAAGCCGCGGCTGAGCTGGTTCCCGCCGGCGAGCGCTCGGCCCTTGTCTGGGCGGCTCCGCGCCGGAGCGGCAGGAGGAGGAGTCCGACGGGCGGCGGCGGAGCCTGGGCGGCAGGAGGAGGAGGACCAGGGACGCTCGGCTCTCCGGAGATACACCCTCCTCCTGGCCGCTCTGCAGCAGCCGCCGCAGATCACTTCCGGAGCGCTGCGAGCGGGGCGGGGCCGGCTGGGGAGCAACTTCCTGTCCGCGGCGGAGAGGAGGGCGCCGGGGGCCGGGGCTGGAGAACAATGGCCGGGAGGGCGCGGGCTCCCGGCGTCTGCCCTCTGCGTGCCGAGGGCGGGCCGCGCTGCCTTGCGGCTGGCCCCACCCCTGGCCCTCTGCGCCTGGCGAGGTGAAGTCACCTCCCGGGGGCTCGGGAGTGGCCGCGGGCTTCGCGGAGGATCCCGGATCTCGGCGTCGGCGCCGCGACGTCCTTGTCTCCCTTCTGGGGACCGGGAGGGGGTTCTTGGGAGAAGAAGGGGAGGGCGGAGGCCGCCATCTTGCTTCCAGGGGGCAGCCCCTTGTCCCAGGCGTCCTAGGATGGAGGCCGCTCCGTCCTGTGGCTGGGGTTCTCCAGAGTGGCGCCGGCGACGTGGCTGATCGCGGGCCGAATCCGCGGAGATGGGTCAGTCGTCCGCCCTGGCTGGAGGGTCTCGGTGGCTGCCCTGGGCCTCGTTTCTAACTGCTGGTCCCTGGAGGGCTGGCCTCCGCGGATGGTGTGGGGTCCTTTTCCGAGGGGGCTCAGCGCCCTACGACACGGCAGGTCTGGTGCCTCGTGTGGCGCTGAACTCATCCTGCGGCCCCATCCTCTGATTTGATAGCTTAAATTACAAGTAGTTCCACAAATCGGTTGCTTTATTGAATCCACAGGTTCGAAATAGATCGTTTGCCTGCCGTCCGATAGCAGCTACAGAGTTTTATCTCTTGACATTTATTCATTCCCTATTCCCCCCCGCCCCCCGCCGCCCCCCGTTGAGTACCAGCTCCGTGCTTGGCACAACCCATTCAAGAAATGCCCAGCCTAATGGGCAGACATGAAAGCAAATACTAGTGATTGGAAGTATGGTATATTAAGGTATACAGAGGAAAGAGCGGATGACCTTACAAACTGCGTTAGATTTTAAAGATAAATTAAGGATTTTTTTCGGCAGAAAAATAGGTGGGATGGCAAATCCAGACCCTAACAAAAAGGACATGCAGCACAGGGACGAAAAATGGGTGTTGGGAGTTGTGAATAGTAATTACAGGGTTTAAAATTTCAACTCTGGGTTGCTGAAAAAGATGAATCTGGAGAAGCAGACAGGAGCCAGGTCATGAACTATCTTTCCTGCGTCGGTGAGGCGGTGACTAGAGGAATGACCCTGGGCGGGTTTGCAATTTAAGCTGTTGGTGGAGGACAGATTAGTTAAGGGGAGGAGCGGGGCCTCAGCTTGTAGACAACGGGCCGCCGTTACGGAAAGCCAGAAGGAAAAGGATAAGGACCTTTATGTGATTGGCAGTGGGCATCCGAAGAAGCTAGAATCCTAAAGTATTCAGGATGCCAAATCAACTGATTGTGAGAATTGATTACTGGGAACAGGTACTGGGGAGGAGAATGGAAATGGCAATAATGATGCTCTGTTTTGCTTTTTGAGGAGGATAAAGGTATATTTTACCAAATGAGAGAAGGAAGGGTTGGGATGGCATGGGGGAGGGGATGCAGAAAATTTTGGACCTGGTGAGTTTGGAGTACCAGTGGTGTTGTCTAATGGCAGTTGCTAGGTGGGTCTAGAGCTCTGGGGAGGATCTGGGCTGAAGTTGGAAACACCGCGGGCTTGTATTACCGCCTCTAAGCCAACGGTAGTCTCACTTCATTGAGCACATTTTCAAAACCACTTCTCCTTTCTCCCTCCCTTTTCTTGGGAAAATTGCCGAAATATTAAATTTTAAAAATTCCCATGTGGTGATATATGCCCATCTACAGGCTAATACTCAAATGCTAGTGGCCGCCTAAGGGCTGTAAAGGTCAGGCTTACAAGAAACTGAATGTGACAGTGGTAACTAGTAGAGCATCATAAACTTGTAAAATGAAATATTATATTATTTTAATTTAAAAATTTAATCATTGACAGTAGACAGCTTCGTTTAAACTGGCCACAGACGAAGGACTGAGGATGATAAATTGCACAAATATCTGTTGAATGAGAACTAGAAGGAGGATGACTTCAAGAAAAGTGAGCAATGCCAGCACGATGAGAGACAACCTCAGCTCCTTAGTCCGCCTGTCTCGTCTGCTGCTTGGTGGTTCACAGCTATGCTAACTTAGCTTAAAGCAGTCAGAGAGAGTGGATCATTTTGAGCAGAGGCTTCAGAAAGCCACAAATAGCAAAAGCCCTATAAATAATAGCTACAGCTGCCAACCAAAGACTAGTTATTAGTTTTTATTCTATCTTCCTGTATAGCAGCGTTTTTGAACACAAAACATGAGGGACTCCCACTTGCCTTTAGTTCTTAGATTATTCAAATACATTATTCTCAATTTTCCTAGAATTGAAATACATTTAAGTGTATTAAACAACCATATAATAAATAATATACTGAACTAGAAATGAGAACAATGATCTTGAGTCCCTGTTTTGTTCTTTATTCACGGTATGACCCTGGCAAAGTCACTTAACCTCTCCGTGCCCTAGTTTCTTTGCCTGTAAAATAGAGATAATAATAACTTTCTACCAGGCCGCCCCTCAGAGATGTTCTAAGAAATAGCAAATTAATCTTTTAAAAGCTCTTTGAGGTACTTGGATGAAAGGGCGTAATTGTAAGTGCGTGTTATTAATAATTAGCACTAAGATCCGGTAGAACTCGTAAGCATTCGTAAATTTGCTGCCTGGGGAACTCGAGCAACGTGAAGGATTCTGTTTTAAAATACACTTAGGTTTCTTGACTTGTGAGTTTAATATTTATTATTTATGATCCAACTGTATGTATCAACAAATATAGTATGAGCAAAAAGTAAAAGGAGAGAGGTTTTAGTAACTACAATTCTTACCTCTGCTGCTACTTAAGCTAATAGATGCTTTTAGGGCAAGTATGAGGTAGGCATGCTTTTGTCAAAATCATGTTTTAGAATTAATGATTCGTCTCCTGCAGTCATTTAACTGGAATTTTCTATTAAAGCATTACTCATGTGTCTGTAGAATAATAATTTTGCCTGCAATTACATGTTTGTCTGAAACATGAAAGTGAGCATTCCTGTGAATGTTCTGTCATTCCCATCATTGTTTAATCAGAAACAGAATAAAATATGTAATCCTGTGAGTTTTTATCCAATGTCTATTCCTAAAGTAGATGAAATTTTGCCCGTTAGATTGGTGGCTTCAATGTTTCTTTTTTGAAAGGTGTATGCACATATAAACACATACATTTAACTATATTCATGGCTATATAATATGCATATTTATTTTATACACATGCTTATTATACACCAATTCATAAAAATATGAATGTACATTAACTACGTATAGTAACGACTGGTAACAACAAAAGTCTCAGGTGTATCGGGGGTCAGATTAGAAAGTAGTTGGTTATTAGCGATTTATCACTATTGGTGGAAAAACAACTCAAAATACATGTTATTAGTACAGTTAGAAACATTGTCTGTAATACTCATGACACTTTAACATTTGTATTATTTCACTTTGTTTTCACAGCAACTTTGTGAGACTTGAGATGTTCAAAAATATAAGCTCAGAGAAGTTCAAGACTTGCTACGAATCGTCAAGGAGCAGAGGCAAACTTGAACTCAAGCTTTATGTTGAGACTCTCAAATGCTCTGTTCTTTGTAAGACTTTATCCCGTGGTTACTAGCTTGATATGACACTTACGCCAGAATATATTTATAATATGGACATTTCTGGCTTATCATTGATTGCCTGCAGAATCTCTAAAATTCAGCCAAACTTAAGTTTTTCAAACTTGAACTGCAATTGTGTTTATGGCTATGTCTTTACCGCCTTGAAGACAGGCACTTTGTTTTATTCATCTTTGTATCCTTCATGGTGTCAGGCGTGAGTACTCAAAATATTTTAGGGATGAAAATAAGAAGTATATTACGATGACTAGTTGATGCCTTTAAGGCAAAAAATCCAGATAATCACCTCGGAAACTTTTAGGTGTGTGTGCGCATTTTCTGCAAATTCAGGTAAAGATCATTTGTTTTATAATCTGAATTAGTGAGACCATTGCCTCAGTTTCCTGCTTCACTTTTATTCATCTCAGGCCTTGGAGGGGTAGGTCTGTAGATGACAGTCACTTGTATGATAACTTTCCTAATGGTTCTGTTTGGACTTAGATCTTCTAGATGTCATTTTGGCTGTGGCCCCTATTGTGAGAATGCACAAAGAATGGAGGTCTGACAGTTTAGGCCTTTATAATTCTCCCCTTCATGTCCATCCTTGTGGACCACGTGTTTGCATGCTTTTTCTGTCAGGCAATTGGAGGATAAGACTGTTAGATCAATGGTTCCCAAGTGTCACTGCTCATCCGAAGCGCCTGTATCTCTCTTTTTTATTTAAAGATGGGCACCTGAGCTAACATCTGTTGCCAATCTTCTTTTTCTTTTTCTTTTTCTCCCCAAAGCCCTCCCAGTAAATAGTTGTATATTCTAGTTGTAGGTCCTTGTGGTTCTGTCATGTAGGATGCCACCTCAGCATGGCTTGATGAGTGGTGCCAGGTCCGCGCCCAGGACCCGAACTGGTGAAACCCCAGGCTGCCGAAGCAGAGTGCGCGAACTTAACCACTCGGCCACAGGGCCAGCCCTGTCACCTGTATATCTTTAAAGGAAATTCAGATTCTCAAGACCCACTCTAAACAAAGTCAATTAGAAAGTCTTGGGTGAAGCCTTATATATATTGTCATGTAAAAATATAAAGTTATATATATAGTTATATAAAAATAGAACAACTATAAGTAGTTGTATTTGTAATTATAACACCCTCCTTCGAATTCGGATCATCAGGCAGGTTTGGGAAGTTCTGGTTTCGGTAACTTAACCAAGGTCACACAGAACCCTAAATAGAGTCTGAAACTAACTCAGATCTTAGGAGTCCAAGTTAAATATCTTTTCACTGGACTTTACTGTTCTTTTACTGACTACATATGATGGGGTAGGATGGAAAGATGAAAAGTAACAATTTTAATTTTTTAATTATTCTTTTACCATATTCTATTACATAGTTTTAAGATTAAATGAGTTAATATCTGCAGCATGCCTAGAACAGTATCTGGCATGTGGCAAGTACATGTAAGTCTTAAATGAAGAAGTCTGTTGTCTAATTACATGATTCACTTAGCCCAGGGTTAAATTAGGTAAAATTGTAGTAGATATAAACATTTTCTATATAGAAAAAAATGTATGTAAACAATGGAATCTTCAGCAAAAATCCTTTTTGTCATGGAATCCCTGAAATTGTATAGCTGAAAATACTTTTATATTGTTTCTTTTAATCTTTTCTGATATATTAAGAGAAATGTTAATAATACACTTATTAGATAAAGTTTTGGATTTGCAGCTGTGTAGTCTTTTTATATTCTTTTATTTAAGATATAGTTAAGGTACATGGGATGAGATATTTTACATTGTCCTCCTATCACTGAACTAATTCCAAAATTGGTTCTTCCTGTTAGGTAATCAAGTATTCATGTTTCAGAAGCTATTGTCTGCCTGGATTGATTTTCTAAAAGAAATATTTCCCTGGAACGAGATAAGAGATATGCTTGGTTCCATTTAATTTCCCTACTTCTCTAAAGGTTTCTTCATAGTGTTTCAACCTTGAGCAAGTGTTTATACTTGTTACTAATAAATAAATAAATAAATACTTGTTAATATAAATGAAATTGTGCATTTTCATCACTAGTAAATGAAGACCCCAATGTGATATTTTTAAGGTCTCTTTGATACATTTTGACAAAGTCTGAAAATATGCCTCTGTTCGGCATCCGTCACTATGAAAATTGATACCCATTTTAGTTTTTGTTCGGTTTTGTAAATTGTATTATTTTTCAGAGGAATTACCACATACCTAGCATCAGTTTCTAGTAGCTCCTATATTCTTGTGTGTGTGTGTGCCCATATACAGAATACCTTCATATCTTCATGCAAAATAGGAATTTAGTCTTTAATATACTTCATTAAAATGAATTATGCTATCATAAACTAATTGATTTGTCCTGGAAAAGGGTAGAGGTACAGATAAACCAGAACAGAAGGTATTTGTAGTCAGCAGGGATCTGGTAGGTAAAGAGGATTACACCAGAAGGTACAGATCTGAGAAGCCAGAAGGAAGAATTAGATGCCCTCAGTCGTGAACCAGCTGCCTATTTGAGTCCAGAGTCTGCCAAGGAAAGGGAATTAAATTAGCATTTATTGAATATTTACTATATTCCAGAGATTGTATCAGGCACCTTACAAAAGAAGGAATGTCTGGTTTGGTCCTATATATCTAAGTGGTTTAAGACTTGGGGGTCAGAGAAAATAGTATTAATAAGCAGGACATTTGAACAAGTTCTATTACTCTCTTTTTTAATACTTTTACTGTTTATTATAAGAATTAAAAATTACATGTGGAGCCAGCCCAGTGGTACAGCAGTTAAGTTCCATGTTCTGCTTCAGCAGCCAAGCGTTTGCCAGTTCGGATCCTGGGTGCTGACTTACACCCCACTTGTCAAGCCATGTTGTGGCTGACATCCCACATATAAAGTAGAGGAAAATGGGTACAGATGTTAGGGCCAGTCTTCCTAAGCAAAAAGAGGAAGATTGGCGGCAGTTGTTAGCTCAGGGCTCATCTTCCTCAAAAGAAAGAAAAAAAGAAAAAGAAAAAAGTTAAAAAATTTCCTGAGATAGTGCATGTTAGTTCTTATAATCAAACCTGCAACTTCTGCAACTGAACTATACCCATCCTTTTCTTTATTCTTTTCCCAATACAGGGCCATCATTCTGTCTATTCTGGATTTCAGCTCCTCCTGTCTACTTGAGGACCCTTCTCCGTCAATTATTCTCTTTTTGTTGTATCTTCAACCTCTCACTCTGCTGGTTTCTTGCCATTAGCGTTCTCATTTGTTTAAAGTGTCTCCCTCATACATATCCTGTCTTCCTCTAGCTTCTACCCAAATTCTCCTTCCTTTCACTAAAGGAAATTTTTGAGAAAATTTTGTGTGCTTGCTGTCTCTACTTCCTCACCTCCAAGTTATTCCTCAATCATTTGTAATCAGGCTTTCATTCCCAATGCTGCTCTGAAAATACTCTTGATTAAAATAAAATTAAAATAAAGTCACCAATATCATCCCTATTACATGAAATCTCTTAGTTCCTAATGTTTCAACAGCATTTGAAGATCTTGACCATTCCTTCCTTTTTGAAACAATCTCTTAGCTTCTCTAATACCACACTTCATTGTTTGTTTCCTTTCTGGACACTCATCATTGTCCTTTGGACACTTCTGTCTTTGCTTAAATATTGCCGTTCCAAGGAATTCTAAGTTTTGATCACTCTAGTCTAGTCTACACATTCTTCTTGGATGATCTCATCCATGTGCGTGGTTTTACTTCCTATATGTTGATGACTTCTAGACGTGAGCTCACTCCTAAGCTTGAAACCCATATATTCAATTCCCTATTTGATATCTTTCAGGTGTTTTATAGGAGCCCGACTCACACACAGCCTGTCCAAACTGAATGGATGCCATCAGCCACCGAAATGCCCAAAGCCAGAAATCTAAATGTCTACTTTGAATTTTCTACTCTATCACCAGGCTCTGTTAAACCTTCCTTCTTCCTATGTTTCAAAATCACCCATCCCACTCCATTTCTACTGCCACCTCCCTAATCCAAGCCTTTATCACCTGCTTACTATTACTACAATATAAATTCAATAGGTTTACTTGTTTCCTCCCCTAAATCCACTCTTCACACTGCAACCATCATGATCTTCTGAAGGCAGATAGGATCATGTACAGTAGCCCCTCCCCTTTAATCTTGGGGGATATGCTCCAAAACTCCCAGTGGATGCCTGAATGGAACCCTATATATACTATGTTATTTCCTATACATACATACTTATGATAAAGTCCAAGTTATAAATTAGGCACAATAAGAGATTAACAACAATAATAAAATAGGACAATTATGACAATATACTATAATAAAAGTTATGTGAATGTGGTCCCTCAAAATATCTAATTATACTGTGTTTTTGGACTGCAGTTGACCACGGGTAATGGCCATCATGGAAAGCTAAACCACAGATAAGGGGCTACTGTAGCTCCTCTGCCTAAACTCCTTGGTACTGCCATTAATCTCAGGATTGTCTGAACTCCTTTGTGGATCTTATGCAGGCTTGCACTATCTAATGTCTGCTTAACTCTCTAGTCTCATCTCTAGTTACTTACCGTTTCCCTCGCTACAGATACACAAACACAGATCTAGCTCCGAGATTATAAGTAGTTGCTTGGTTTTGTACATACTGCAGTTCAAAAAAAAGTATGAAAGGTAAATGAGCAAAAGATATGGGATGTACCAGTTTTTTAATATTATAAGTATTGTAAAATTCCCAATTATTGTATAAAGGTTTTCATTTTTAACCCCTGCCGTATGTATACACATATATTTAAAACATAGATTAAACATTAAATATGATAAATTAATTTCTTAACTCACATTCTCATTCTCTCACTCATTTATGGCGATATTTAGTAGACAAAATTTATTTTCATGTTGGAAAGAAGTTGATGATGTAGATTTTGCGAAGTATTGATGCCATTTTTGTTAATGTCTTATGAACTTTGAAAAATTACTGAGAGAAATTTGAATTCCAGCTTTCTCTTATTAACAGATTCTTTAGCAAGTTGCATCCCTATTCCCATTGATACCATGTTCTTTCTTTCTTTGAATCATTAGAATATTTATGGGTGGTAATTATCAATCCATAATATTAACAGCCTCTCCATTTCCTTTGTCACTGAATTGTGTTTTAGACACAATTGTCAAGGATAAATTTCCAGTATTTCCTAAATGTGCTATAATATAGTTCTTTTCTTTCACATTTGAACTCACAGACAATCCACTTCAAGTCCAGTGAGCATCTGATTTAGGCTAAAGATTCACAACTGTAGGCAAATCTAATGATTGTTTTGGCCTTTGTCTCAATTATTCTGTTGTTAACAGCCGCACTTTCATTTTTTCCTTGATTTTTATAAAATATCAAGTTCAAATGCGGTAAAATATTCAAATAATTGCCCAAACACTGCTGTACAAAGATGGCATTACTCTGAAGGTAAGCAGTGAGTTGGCAATTAACACCACTACATAACAGCTTCCCATTTTTATCAGTGGGTATGTTGCGATCCCACTTCAGCCTAGAAAGAGTAGAGGGTGGGGTGGAGGGGGTTAATGTGTAAAGCGGGATACCGCCTCTCTCTGTGTTCTTACCCCTGCTGTTTCTGTGCCTGGAGAAAATCTCTCCACCCCTCCCCCTCCGACCTCCTACTTCCCCTTCACACATCTTTCACGT